AACATTTGTAACAATGACATTTCCAAATCATATATCAATTGCAACAGGTAGAATGAATTAAAAATATTTATTCTTATATATACAAATATTGAGAAAATTTAGGAATGTATCAAGAAGATCATGGTATTATTCATAATCGATTTTTTGATACAAAACTTCAAAAATTAGTTACATTTGGTAAATAAAAATATATTATTTATTGATTATAAATCATTTTTTTTTGTAAATAGATACTCAAGATGAAGGACAATGGTCCGATCCTAGAGTTGAACCTATATGGATCACGGCAACAAAACAAGTAGAATATTTTTTTTTCTTATGATTTTCAAATAAATTTTATTATATTTAATTTAGAATAAAAAATCTGCTGTAATTTATTGGCCAGCATCTCATAATGCGTTTAATGGTGTTCGTCCATTTTTCTATACTACGTCATATTCTGATACTATTTCAATACGTGAAAAGATAGATAGTGCTATTTCTTATTTTCGTAAAAATCGTATTCAATTAGCTATGCTTTATCATTTGTAAGTTAATATAAAAGAAAATATTTTCAAAAAACAAAAAAAAAAGAAAAAGAATTTCTTTTATTATAAATAAGTGAACCTGATAAACAAGGTCATACATATGGTCCTGATTCAAACGAAACTCGTGATGCAGTTAATATAGATTTTTTGTTTTCTAAATTTATTTATGATTCGTATTTTTTGTTTTATATAGCTTTTTCGTCTTGATAATGATATGAATTATTTATTAAACAAAATTAAAACTGAACTTAATGATGATTTAAATATTATTATTCTATCTGATCATGTAATTGACAAGAATAATATTGAAAAAACAAATAACAAAACTAATATTTCTTATCTTATTTTTGTTCTAGGGAATGACTAATATTGTACGAGTAATTCAACCATTTCGTGAAGGTTATATCAATAGATCAGCAGTTGAAGACAATATTCTTGATGGTCCAATATTTAGTCTTACTCCTCGTTCAGGAGAAGTAAGTTTGTCTAATTAAGGAGGATTTCTTTTTTTGAATGAAAAAAGACACATCAAACAGTTAAATATGAAGTTCATATATTTCAAGACAAAATAAGATTTCTATGAAAAGAAAGATTAGAGGATGTGTGATATCACGAGAAGTTGTTGAGACTAGGACCGAGATCAGATTAGATTTGTCGAGGTCATAAACAGAACTACTAGAAAAGAAGTTATTGAGACTGGGACTAAAAAAAAAATGATCTCGTGCATTTCTAGAGAAGACACACTTTACAATAAACTTTTTAAACTCTTAAAAATAAATCTCTATATCTATATATATTCAAGATAACTTTTGTGAGGGAAATTATTCAATTCAGAGATATACATTGAATAGTAGAATTTTTTCATATTAAAACAAAATAGTTTGAACAAGTATTCAATGGTTTACGTGATATTCCTGGTGTTACAGTTTATAAACGTGATGAATTTCCAGAAGAATATCATTATGCAAAAGCAATCTGTCGACTTGGAGAAATAATTGTCGTACCTGATAATGAAGGCCTCTATTTTTCGCAAGTAAAATTAAGTTTTTTTTTTTTTATTATAATCACTGATATATTCACGAATTTTTAATATATTAGTCAATGATGAAAATACCTGCTCTAAAAGGTAATCATGGATATGATAATAAACTTCCATCGATGCAAGCTATATTTATGGCACAAGGTCCAGATTTTAATCAACATATTGAAATACATTCACTGAAAAATGTTGATATTTATCATATAGCTTGCAAAATTTTGCATCTTAAACCGAATCCATATGCAACAGCTGGATCACTCGACAATTTAACTGATATTTTTCGTTTAAGAACAAATAAATGTTCTCAATTATTTATAGACATATTAGTATTATTATTAGCATGGTTTTTTACATTTTATCATAGAAATTTGAATGAAATAAGTTAGAATTTTTTATAAAAAAAAAATAATAAAATTGTATCCTATATACCTTAGTACATTTTTCAAAACAGAATACAATATTTTATATCTGTCAAAGTAATGGATATGAAATAATCATATAATAGGAGAAAGAAAAAATGTTTACCTTTACTAATAATATATTCATTGAAAATTTTCGTTTATAAATTTGTTATTGTATTGTCTGAATAAATTTTTAAAATCTTTTCCTAATTCAATCTTATAAGTTTTACGATAAACGAGAATTTATAAAATAAAATGTTGAATTTGACTACTTTAAAAAATATATTTATATAAAGTTGAAATTCTTTTAAGATAGCTTTGAATAACTATAATCTACCAAAAATTGAAAGCAACATTCGTTTCGAGATATTAAAAGAACTTGTATAGTTGACGAAAGTTTTTACTAGTGTCTATAGAATCATCAACTAAAATCTCAGAATCATAGATAACTGATTTGCTTTGTCCATCGTATTGTAACATAAAGAATTTAAATTGAAACACAAAATACACTCTTTCTAGATAGATGCGATTATTCAACTTTTCTACAAGGACAATAATAGTTCACAAGATGTGTTGATAGGTACTTGTCGTCATACTTTTTATTAGCATCGAACAAGAAACGTTTTTTTAACTAACAAAGTAATCTCGGCAAGTAACAACTTGCTTTCAAGATGAATTCTATCCAAGGCGGAAAAAGCAAGACTTCAGTATTTCGAAGCAGTGAAATTTTGCTTTTTTTTCTCTTTGGTTTTATTTCATTAGATAGGTCTCCTTAAGACTAGTAAAAGTACCTATGAGTCTTTCTTCTTGAATTATAGCCGTTTTAATGGTTTTTTTTGAATATAACACTGTGATCTCTTGTAGGTGTGCACGAGCCCTAGTTTAGTCTCAAGAGAAACTACTAAATGAGATAAAATCCATTTCAAAAGCTACCGAAAAATAAACATATCTATCAGAACTTTTTGGTCTTTTGTTCATCATTATTGCTTGCTCATTTAAGCTTATTATATGGTACACCAATTTATACATTCAACAAAAATCAATAGTATTATTTTTGTTTGAAAATTAGACTTTTGTATTTAATCTTAAAGAGTTATGTTTATTGTCTTTATTACTCATGACGATAGTTTATACCTACTTGTACAATTCTAGGTGGATATTTTCAGTAAATGATATATTCATAGTGTTAAACTTCATCTTTTGTTTTCTTGTGTCAGACAAACTTTTCTACATTTAATAAATGTCCAATTCTAAAAGAAACACGTACATTTTATGAAGTTGATTAGTGTGAATAAAACATCAATTATTCACCGATATATTCACACGTTATACTATATAAGTAAAACAACATCAGAGAAAATCATTATATAGTACATAGGAAAAGCATGAAGGTAAACTATGATACATTTGAATACACATTATTTGTCTTCAATTATCAAAAATGCACATCTGATCATGCATTGAGAGGATCAAAGCTAATTTCTCTATACAAGCTATCATCGATCTCCATCATGAGTACGCGTGTCGCCTCGCTTCAGGCAGAAATAGCGCGCAACATTTGTCTGTCGCGTGTTGCCGATATATATATATATATATACTGCTCATCCAACAGTGTCGCCGACACACCTTGTATAATAAATGTCCGAGCAATGAATATCGATGTATATGATTTGTTCTTTTGATGTTTGTCGTCCGAAATATTCTATCGATCACGTAATCGATCAACGAACAAGAAAATTGATAGGCGGTTGATATCGAAATACTATTTTCGATTTAATCCTCAAGCCAAAAAAGAAAAAGGCGTATAATAATGATGCTCTAATCGAATCAAATAATTCACAGTTAAATATTCTCTCTCTCTCTCTCTATGATTTCGAGTGTATATGTGAAAAAAAGACATGCACCATCTGTCTAGTTTTTCATTTAAATAAAACATTGATAAAAAAAGAAAACGAAGAAAATTTGATCGAAAGGACAAAATAAAAAAATCTGATGACTTTTCTTGATTAAATAACACCTTGCATGCTCCTATTTCATGCTTGACGATCATCATATGATGTAATGTGAATAATAAGATGGAACAATACGAACTTTCTATTGACATTTCTAATCATGAAGATATGAATCACACATTCATAAATATCTATATACACATAAGCATGCATATGCGTCATATCATATCTCATCAGAAAATTATAGACAATGATCAGAATGTGTTTGTTGCTTAAAGGAAAAAACAAAACAAAATGATGAGATATGTCACATTTTTTTTTTTGTTATTTGGTATGAAACTCATGTTGAAAATAATATAGTATTCTAATCCGAGGTTGCTAAGATTAGGACAAACGTCAATGATTCAAGATGTTGATTGGAAGATTTTTGATAGAGTTGATTGAATTTGCAAGGGAATTATCCGCTAGGAACACCCTCTGCAAAAAAAAGAACAAGTCTTCTCTTACCATTAGAGAACTATGCAGGAAATTCTGTACATTTTGCTGTCTGTTTTCTTTACATAAGAAAAGCGTGAGTCTTTTTGTTTAACAATACATACGATATAATATTGGTGAATCTAGGATTTTGGTGAATGAGAATGATCATAGTCACAAAATATGTTTTCAAATCACATTAGAGTTTGTATCGGCTGAATTTTGCACGTTTTCTACTCAGAAAAAATAGTTCAAGTATGAAATTTCTTGCCTCCACAATCTAAATTCATCGTTATACTCTCACTAATCATTATTGTTTTCTCAAAAAACAAAAAATTTATTACTTAACTTATGTCATCATTTGTTCTTCTTTATCGAACAAAAGTATATTTATCATTAAAAACAAATATCCTGTTTGGTCTAATTTCTTATCTATATACATAACAAAATTGCCTTCTTTTTTTTTTTGTTATCAAATCAATAATTTATTTTTTTTTCTTTATTATGGCCACTAAGTATTTTCAAAATATAGAGAACCAATTATACAGATCTAACTACAATAAATTATATTCATATACAACAGAAGAAAACAAAAAAAAAAGAAAAATCAAAAGTGTGTTGGATAATAAAAATGATGATGATGTTGTGATGATACAATTGGTTGTGGTGGTGGTGGATAAAATTGTTGAGTATTTAACATAAAATGTTGTTCATCAGAATAATATTCATTTGAAAATGTTTGTGAAGGTCCTGGTATAATCATATGTCCATTAGGACTAATTTCTTCCATACTACTACTTGTTGCATCATTGCAATATGATGATGTTTGATCAAAACTACTTGAACTACATAATATAGCATCATCTTCACTTTCACTTGTTAAATGATTATGATTTGTTGTTGTTTTTGATTGATGATTTATTTTTTTAAGATTAATAAATTCTAATGGATTTCGTACTCTTGGATGCATTGATGATAACATATAAGTTTCATCCATTGTAATCATATTTGTTGGATATGAATTTCCATGATGTTGTTGTTGTTGTTGTTGTTGCTGTTGTTGTAATATACGAGGATTTAAACAAAGTGTTGCTGCAACAAGATTCATTGTATTTGGTGATAAACCTTTACATAATAATTGAGCAAAATGTGTATTATCTGGTATATGATTATTTTGAACCATTTCACTTAATGCTTCAATATAATTTTTTGCTAAACGTAATGTTTCAATTTTGGATAATTTTTGTGATAATGAAAAACATGGAATTGTTTCACGTAAAACTTCTAATTGTTCATTAAGACCTTTCATACGGTCACGTTCACGACCATTAGCTTTAATACGTCGAACTTTAAAACGTGCAACGCGTGCTGGTGTCATTTGTTTCTTTTTTGGACCACGTTTTTTTGGTATTTTAATATCATTTATAAATGTTGATTTTTTATTTGTTGTTGTTGTTGTTGTTGTTTGAGTAGGATGATGATGATGATGATTATTATTATTATTATTATTATTATTATTATTATTATTATTTTCTTTCATACTTTCGACACGTTCATGATATTTGATTTGAAGTTCAAGTTCTTTTAATTGTCGTTGTTCTTCGTCACGAGGAATTTTTGTAGGCATCTTGTTTTTTTGTTATAAAGAAATTAACTTACTGAACAGTTCACGTCGATTTGAATGAAAAGAATAAAAAAAAAAAAAAGAAAAGAAGGAAATGTCTCTTCTCTCACTCTCTTGCTTGCTTGCTTGTTTCCTTCCTCTGATAAAAGAGAGTATATTCAATTTATAACCAATGAAAATTAATGATAGTCAAAAAAGAAAAAGAAAACCAATGATTGGTTCTATTTAAAACGTGTGAGATATGAGCTAATCATTTGATTAATTTCTATCTACAACATGTTTCCTTTATCTTTTTTCTTTTAAAAATAGTTTCAAATATTCTTAAATACAGTCGATGAATAATGTCGCGTGTTTGATTGATTTAATAGCATGTGCGTGTTCTTCGAACCGTAAAAAAAAAAGACACAAATACACAATGAGATGATACTTTTCTTTCTTCATCCGATCGTTTTCAATAGAAAAATAGTATAGAGTGCATGCGCATGCTTTCATCATGAATAAAGAAAAGATAAATGCTAATTTTCGAAGGCCAACTGTTCTCGAAAAATAAAAAAAAAAAAAAAGAGAAAAAAACTTAATTTAATTAGACTTAATATTAGCTTTCTTTAAGGTCAAATTAGTTGACCGATCTTCTCTCTTTTTTTTTTGCTTTTAATGAAATTGATAAATATCAATTGTTTTGACGGACCTCTTGAAAAACATCTAAGACATATGAACGTGATCGTCTTGAATATAAAACGAATATCTTATCTTTGTCAAAGAAGGTGTTTAAACATATCCGGCATCAATGATTGACTGACAATATCATTGTCAACAAGCATAAACAAATGTGAGATTAGATCATATTCTTCTACGTAAGAGAATATATCATTTCCTGATTATTATTATGAAAAAATAAATCTATTGTAAATGTATATGGATGAATAAGCAAATATATATTAACAACTATTTTACGTAAATAAAAAAAAAATATATATATATTTTTCATAAAAATAATAACACGTTCAATAAAAAATTAAATATTTCATTCACAAGAGATTTAAAATATATTGACAACTTATCATGAGTAAAACAATTTTCTAACGTACATTCGTCACTTCGATTTTTTTGCTAATTGTTCACTAATACACAAGAGATTTCATTTTATCAGTTTCAATATATATATATATATGTGTGTGTGTTCAAGGTGGCAAACAGTCATCTCGATAATCGTGTGTCGTGTCGTTATCAGTCAAGTTAATCAATGTCATGTAGTAGCTACAGCAGTAAATTTAACATTAGCAGACAGATGGCATAGTATTTGCGATAGTTTTACAGCTCTTAACTCGAGAGGTGCAAAAAAATATGAATAACCTAAAAGTAAGAACAGTGTAATAAGACACAAAAAAAAAGAAAAAGAAAAAAGAGAAATTTTTTTTATGACCAACTGCTGGGTTTTTTTTTCTAACCGACTCGTGCCATCCCTTATCGACTAGTCGTTTCTTTTAACACTGTGAGTGGCCATTATTCGGCTGCATCCTTTTATCAATCAAATGAAAATCAAACGTTTGATTTTTTTCTCTCTTTCTCTCTGTGTGTGTGTATATTACAATACTAGTGTCATCTCTTTTGTTTCTTTGAAGGACATATGTCATGAAAAGCGTGTCCATCTGTAGTAAAATTTCATTCTTATATTCAGTTTTTTTTTTCTAATAAATATAAATTTATTATTCGATATGTCTATAAGTAGAAGAAAAAAAATAAATATATATATCTTATAACAGTTAAAACCTGCTGAGCTGATCAAACAAACACTTTTCTCAACTAACTAGTGCTTATCGGTGATGTAAGATTTCCAAGGACACCATTCTGTTCTGTTATTCTTTTTCGATCATTCATATGCCGACATGAAGAGACGAAAAAAAAATGAAGGAGTGATTCGCTAATTTGTCACCTTTTCAAAACCAGTAATGATCACATCATATAAAAAAAAAAAGATGCAATTGACTGTAAATTAAAGAGATGTTATTTGAATTTTAAAGGATAGACTGAATTTCTTTTTCAAAATGACATAAAAATGAAAATCGATATGAATTAAATATAATTTTACGTTTGTTTATACAACGAGACACACGGAAGGTGTGGCAACTTAAATAATATCTATTGATTAAACTAATGCTGTTCTCATCATGAACAAATTACATATTACTTCCTTTTTTCTTCTTTACCATTCATTGAACTGTATCAAATGTTGACCATAGGACTCATGTATATGTATATGCAAACACTTGTTTGTCTGTTCAACCTTATCTCGTTTTTCACTAAGTTCCCAGTGGGCACACTGGTGACTGATTGATAAACATAGACTATATAAAAAGAATGGGCAATTGAATCGCGAGTACACATTCGAACAACACAACAGGACGTTAATGGCATGGCATTGACAACACAAGGGACTAGTAGTTCTATAGAATGAGAAGGGAGGAGAAATAGGGGGAGGTGTTGTTTTCCTCATACTCGTTCTCCTCCTCCTTCTCTTCTTCTTCTTCTTCTTGTTTCGAATCGAATAGAAAACTGTACAATATACTTGTCACATAGTCTAATCAATTTTTCTTTTTCTATCTGAAATTCTAGTCGATGAAGATAGACTGAACTTGAGGCGAATAAACGGACATATACACTAATTACATTCAATGAAAGAGACACTTGCCTATAGAGTTTGTCTAATATGAACAGGCGTACTTTACATTTAATAGAATTAGTCAGAAAATAAAAAACAATATGATCGATTTTAATCTTCATATATGTATATACATACACATACACTTGTGATGAATAATTTATTGAAGGTTAAGATATTTGTCGAGAAAAAGGAAAACATATAGATGGCTTGTTTTTTTTTTTGCAAAAGTCTAGTATTAACATACAAGGATCGTTGTCTACGAGAAATTTGGACTTTCATATATGACGGTGACGTTTTCTTATATATACAATATTAGTTGTACATATCGTCCTTTTTATTTTTATTTTCACTGAATAACATACAGACTGTCAAAATTCGATTTTGAATTAGTTCTTTGTTCTATCAAGTACATTGAAATATTTTCTAATGGCAAAAAAAATCGACTTTCGATATGTTCATAGATATAGTAGTGAAATTTTTTTTTTTTCTTATGAATTTTTTTTTCTAGTAAAAAATTTTCCAATAAAAATACTCATAATAGTAATAATAATTAGAATAAATATTAATTGACAATATTGAATGAATTTTTTCGATTGAATTAAATTTTCATAAAATCGTAAAGCATTTGATCGTATATCATATGCATGAGATTTAATAATATGTCCATCATTAATAATTTCATCTATTTTTTCATTTGTTTCTTTTAATATAATACCTGCATTAATTGCTTCAATTCGAATATTATCATATTTTTTATCAAGTAAAATTGATGAATCTATAACCGGAGAATGTCCGGTTTTGATATTCAATTTATCCACTATCAATAAATTTGAAGAAAAAAAATCGTAAGAAAAAAAAAACAGAAGTAACCTTGGCAACTTGATTATTAAATAAATATTTGATTAAATATTTGGTTGAGTAAACTTTAGAAAATGGATGCTGGTAGTGTCTTTTAAAAGTCGGTTACGAAGTACAATACTTATCCTTGTACTGTAAATGATACAATTTAAATAAGACATTTTTTTTTTCAATAAAACTTACTTTGTACATCACGGTCTAATGATATGTAGACACAAAAATACAAATGTAACGATTAATTTTCGATAGAATTCACTAATAATTAAAAAATTCATTTTTTTACAAAACTCGTCTCGTTGTATATTAGTCATATATTGTTGTTTCGATATTAGTATACAAATGACATTTAAAACAATGTTAACCTTGAACTTTTGTCGAATGTAAATCTAGTACGATATTATTCTTTTTTAAGTATTGTGATGTATTCTATGATAATAAAAAATATATATTTCTTTTTGTTTTGTCTAATCATCTCTCTACAAGTATAGATTAAATTTCCTTATGAATATATTAGATTCGATTTCGAGTTTGAATGTAATATTGAAATGATTATGATTAACGAACATATTTCACATATATAATTTTCTTTTTTGATTAGAAAAAAGCCTTGGTATTGCTGGTGATTTATCAATCTATATAGAAAAAAAATTAATTAGTTTCTATTGATGACATTATATATTCTCAAATTTTTTTTTTTTTTGTGTTATGTTTATCATTGAAATAAAAAAGACATTTTATCTATATAGACTCATATTTCATCGTGTTTTTTAATATTCAATATTACATTCATATCTCAAATTACTTTTCAATTTCATGAAGAATTTAATAATTAAACTTTATTACAAGGAAAAAAAAATATTTTTTTCTTATTTTGTTTTTTGTTTGTATTCATATGAAAGAATAAATAAGTAACATATATAAAGATAGCGAGGTGACAAAAGGCACATAATAAACTACTATACATATAGCATAAAATTTAAAAAGAAAAAACAAAAAAGAAAAGAGAAAAAGTTAATAGATATATTGTATTTATTATTGGACGTATATTGCGTTAACAATTTTATTTTGTTTTCATATTTTATTTATGAAGATCGACCAAATTTAAATACAAATGCACTGTAAAGGACTAATGATAAAAATGTAAAGAATAAAGATATAATCTCCAGTCCAGTTGACCAATCGACTCGTACTCTATATAATTCTCGAGCACGATCTCGAAGTGCTCCGATATCGAAAGCTTAAAATAGAAAAAAAAATTAAAATTTAAAGATCATAAATACTAATGAAAAGTTTTTTGTGTGATTCTTTTCTTTTACAAAAAAAAATGTTTATTGATTTTTCATGTGTGAATATAGAAGTGTTGATAATCTTATAATAAAACTTTACAATTTTATTGATTTATTATATTTTTGTTATAGACAAGAGTATATTTTTGATTTAGTGATTTAAAATTTTCTTTCTTAGACTTTAAAATATATGTACC